AGAAGTCATGAATGAAAACGTATGAATTTTTATGAATTAGCCACATTTTCTTGTGAGGTTGGGCTCAAAGTTCAGCAAAAAGAAAATAATAATGCCAGGTTGTTTTAACCTAAATTTGGGTCAAATATCGACCAACCAAGCAGTTGTGTTAGATGTTTTAAATTAAAACTTGAACCCACATTTGTTCCATGTTTTACTCAAATTTAGGTTAAAACACCCCATCATTTTATCGTAAAGGAGTCTGGACAATAGAAAAGAAAACTAAATACAATAATGAGGTCAAAACCATGCAAAGATAAATGATTAAAATTTTACTGTCATAATATACCATAGTCCATCTGATTCCATAAATATATATTTACTTGATTAAATACAAAGTTCAAAAAGCATTATTTCAGTCTTTGAACAAAAAATATGTATTACTGTGTGTTACTTGAGTATTCATTCCTTGGTATTATATGTTAAATGTACACTTTTCAGTATACTCTTTCAGAAGATATTTCATTAGTTTTCCCCATACGCATTTTTTATTGTTCTTAATAAAGGTAGGAAACACTTTGGGAGGGTAATAAAATAACTTTGACTTAATATGTCATACTCATGGAAGGTTGTGGCCAGCGCATTGCATTCTCAGAAACACCAAGAGTGTCTTACCATCTGCACTGGTAAATAAAGCTAATTTTGACAAATATTTCATGCACAGAGAAAATATGCATAACATGCAATACTCTCAAAGAAATGTGCATGCTTTTCTGAACAAAGCCAATGCCAGTGGTAGGCAATGGTGGCGCACAGCAGGCATTTGTCAGACAAGTGTCAGCAAATCCACAGCTCCTTCTGATTGGCCGCAGAGCTCAGGGAGGCCTTGATAATTGCGTGCAACTCCCTGCCAAGCTGAACTAATGGAGAGCAGGTGTGAGCGGAGGCAGAACGTGGACCACTGCCTCCAAACTCCAATATGCACAAATCTCCACCTATCAGATCCTCGCAGCACGGCCAAGCGCAAGGTAGAGAATCTACAATCGTCCAGAGAAGATGAATTGGAGCAATTAACTGTAACATATACTCAGACTCTACACATAATGCAATATAAATCGCTCATTGTAGCTGGCACGTCCCAAAAGGGGCCACAAGAATTAGTGTATCGAAATGGCTGATAAGAGTAAAGTGGGGGGCAAGGCTGCAGAAGGGTTTAATAATAATCGACACAATAACCTCTGTGCGAGCAGCGATGCTGTGTTTAAGCGATTGTGCATTTATTATAAAGCATGCTGAATACTATACAATTGGGCATTCTGCTGGGAGAGGAGCCCTGCAGAGCTGCCAAACGCAGCAGTTTCCTCCATTCAGCATGGCCGCTTTGCTGGAGGTTGCTGGAGGCAGAAGGAAAATGAGAAACTTGGTTTCCCTTCGGTCCAATTTAAAAAGGGAATACACATCTGGTCAAACAAGGCTAGTGTGCTGCACATGAGCAGATTGTGCAGATCTGCAAAGCAATGAGGTGTTTTGGTTAATTAATGCATGAGCGCACTCAGAATCAGCCATAACACTGCGTTGCTAAAAATATTTATCGCTGTAAAACAAAAACAGAGCTATATCTTTTTCTTCACATACTTAATATTTAATTATAAATTATATATATATAATATTAAATAATATTAAGTTATGCCTGGCTAGATTGATGTGGTCAAATCAACAAAATTTCAACATTTTGAGCACCATTTTCTATTTCATGAAGTTTTCAGATATAAAGAACAGCTCACACAGCAGATTTTCCATTGGTCAGTGAAGCACATTCATATGTTTAACTTTGTAATGTAATTTACAGTATGTTTCATATACAGTATTTTTCAGATACATATTTATCTAATACAATAAAGTCATTCCTTTATCATGCGGTCTGATTTTAAATCCTCAGCAGAATTATGAGTATTTACTGCAATATATTACCCAGGCATATACATATAGGCTGCATAATTAATGCACAATGACAGGAGGAAACATCATGAAGCATCAAGTAATGATGACAGAAGTCAGAAGCGGTTATCTCAGATCACTGGAGATGGCTTCTCATGCAAAGATGTAAGGGAAGCAGTGAGAATGATCGCTTTGATGCTGATGTTAGCGTTAAAATGTGCTGCTTAAATTATTCATGATACATATGTCATGCGTTATAGCTGTACAGGCTTTCCCACTGATACCGCTGATAACTGACTAAAGTTATAAATATTTATAAATATTTATAAATATATTTTATTATGAAGAGCTCAACCTAGCACAGGCAAATATCTCTGGTCCAGCATGACCCAATAAGAACAGCACACCTGCATGCTGGTATTCTCACCTCACAAATGTCTCTTAAAACTTGATAATCCTCTGGCACCACTTGATGGTCAGTCTCTCTCATGAATATTCAACAGCACATACTGTCCATTAGCATGCAGTGTTTTCCTCGTTTAGAGAGTGCCAGCACCTCTGGCCGTCTATCTCAAACTCAAATGAACTGAGTGGAAAGCGTTTGAGGACACTTCTTCGTGAACACTTCATCCATCTAATTCAAGCAAGCTCTCACTGTTTACTTTGTATTTTGACCTGCTTCTCTCCATTAGTGTAAGAGTGTATGATGAATATGATGAATGAGAGAACACCGGGTCTTCCACAACTGATGATCAAAGCTTCTTTCCACACAAAGCTTTTATTCACTACAATGAGAAAATGGAAGGAAAGAAGCAGCTTCAGTGTCCTCTGTTCTTCCACTTACGTCAATGTTTTGTGAGAGCCCAAAAATCTAAATTGCATCTAAAACACACAGAGAGAGAAAGGTCTCTATTTTACACTGTTAAAAACTAGGTTCTTTATTGGCATTAATACAAAACTTTTGTTGAAAATGTTAACATCCAAAGAACATTCCACAGCAAATCGGATAATTAAAGTGGGAAAAAATAATATTTAGATAGGTAGCGCTGTCACCTCACAGCAAAAAGATCACTGGTTCGAGCCTCAGCTGGGTCAGCTGGCATTTCTGTGTGCAGTTTGCATGTTCTTCCATTGTTGGCGTGGGTTTCCTCCGGGTGCTCCGGTTTCCCCCATAAATCCAAAGACATGACTATAGGTGAATGGGAGTGTATGGGTGTTTCCCAGTGAAGGGTTACAGCTGGAAGGGCATTCGCTGTGTAAAACATATGCCGGATAAATTGGCAGGCTATTCCGCTGTGGCGACTCATAATAAATAAAGGGACTAAGTCAAAAAGAAATTGAATGAATGAACAATGCATAGAAATATATGTTAAACAATTGCATAAATGTAAGCATTTTAGATTAGTGGCCTTAAATCTTTATTGTCAACTGTATGAATGATTTATTTTAAAACATTATTATTATTGGTATTGTATTATTATTAAACACTAATGTTAATTACAACTTTATTTATTTATGCATTGTGCAACATCATGTATTTTTTTCCTATTTATAGAATTTTTGCATATTTTAAATTAGTATATTTAGTACCTTTGACATAGGCTGTGTATAACAAATCAGATACATTACTGTCATTCATACAGTACATGCATGTCAATGTCAGATCTCAAATGGCACATGGCACATGTCATACTGAATAACATCTGAAGATAATGAAGGCTGTATAGATCCCTTCTATATCACCAGAGCAATGCTTTGAGCAAATGACATTTGCCTAACGAGAATAAGATTACAAATTTCAAAATCTTCCACAAAAACACTCTTTCACAACTGCTCCATTGTCTTTTAAACTCCATGCAGAATTGTAAAACAAAAAATAAAAAGTAGAGTAAAACAGGAGTGATAAATCAAAGAAACTAACTGGTTCTAATTGCAGTAGGAATGTTTTGTAAAACTAAGCACCTGCAACACACATGCGAATCCATCTTTCTCCACTCCTGTTCTGCCAGTTGTATCATTAAAGAGCTAATATTGGACCTCCCAGTAGATGCAAGCTCTGAAACAGAACTAAAAACCCAAATAAAGAATGTTTCCTAATGATGCTGCAGGTATCAGCCCTGATGAATGGTATCTTCAGCAGGTTATGGGCTCTGAGGGAGAACGTTTCTTATCGTGGGTCTCTCATTAGCCAGAATCAGGTCAGCGGGACTCCATCCAGATCAAACAGCGCACACACTTCTCTCATGTCCATAGGCGAAGTGTTAAAAACTAATCACACTTTAGAGCAGGAGTTCCTCTCTCACCTGCAGTGTGACCGACAGAAGGACAGTGTCCTACATGGAGAATGTAGAGCAAACCTGAGGGCTAAACAACTTCCCAGTGCTTCTTCAAATTTCAATGAAGGCCTTCAGTGCAAACAGCACTAAATTCTTTAGATAACCATTGTATCTTGCGTCCACTCACGACTCACTCAATGCTCACAACTTTTTCCAAACAGAAAATGCACACACACAAATAAACTTTGATAGTAGAATACAACTACTACTGCTACTATCCTTACTATTATTACTACTAATAATACTACTACTAATTAATATATTTTGCTATTATTATTTACAATATTTATTAATAAAGTTTCTATCATACATGAAAGGCTGAAATACTTAAAAAAATTGATTATAGTCTTATACTGTATGACAGATTAAATCATTGTCATTTTGAATATAATATTAATAATAAAAATAATAATAATAATTTAAAAATAATAATAATAATAATTATTATTATTATTATTATTATACTGCAATTTAGTTAATTAGTTAGTACTTCTTTGCCTACTAAATTACAAATTATATACAAACATAAAGTTAATATTCATGTGCCATTCTTCTCACAATGACTGTAATATAACATTTCAGATAATAAATTTTACCCGTCAAACTATTTTAATCTCTGTTTAAAAATAACCAACATCCACTAGTAGCAATTTTAAGCATAGCTAGAAAACCATGGAGAATCTCCTCCATCCTGCATTGCTCGAAGTTTCAGAGAGCGGAAGTAAAATAAATTAACACTTGTCTTACCTTCTTCTGATCCTCCAGCTTTTGACTTGTGGACTTCTTTACATGTCTGCTGGTTTCAGGCGGTACATCCATCCCAGATGAAAGAGCTAATATCTCCAAAAGAGACCAATCCAGACAGAGAAAGATGGAGAGAAAAGAGCTACTAGCCAAACGTGTGGGAGAAAGGGAGGGGGTTACAGGCTGACAGATTATTCCTTCACCTGGGTCACATCTTCACTCGGGCTGAGGTGGGCCTTTCTTCAAGAACAGGAGATGGAAAATAAAGAAAACTGAGACACACCTGAAACTATCACGGCCACATCAGCAGGATGAAAAGACCAGCATCCTCCTTTCCACACTTGAAAACATCCATTCAGAAATAAAAATTTCCAAACAAAAGATCCCAGTGCGCGTGTTATGATAGTCCACCTCAGGGCTGCATCCTTGGTTCTCAAATCTGAAAAAAGCAAAGAAATATTCAGATCAGATATACAGTACAGATAAAAAGCATTTAAAAATATTCATAACATTTTAAATTCCTTTCCACATGTATGGCAAAGTACCTCTTGCAATATTCTTTCCTCAGCATGTTTTTTTTAGTTATAGGAAGACAACTGTGCTAGTCAACACAAATAATCCGACAAATCATTCATGTGACCCGCTACCAGCACTAAGTGCAGCACGACCTGCTGATGTGCAGGGGAGATCAATTTTCAATGGGTCACTCATAGCCTCCGGTTTGTTTGTTTGATTTGCACTATTCAGATACAATGCTTGATATAAATAATTCACCATTATTAATACTATGTATTTTCAGCCCAGCAATAAAAGTGACTTAGAAAAACATTTAACTGAAGGAAAAGATGTGCGAATAAATGACAACAGACAAATATTTGAAATATTGTGGTAAACAGTAAAAAAAAAAAAAAAGAGTTCAGACTAAGGGAACGATAACACCGAACAAGCATTTCAGTTGTGAAAACGCAATCTACACTGCCTTTTTACGGACTTTAGAAGAGAGCAATGTACTGTATAAACTGTATTTATGGGGGAGTGAGTGAAATCGGATGCTTTTTCTATTTCTTTAACATCAGGCACTAAGATTGCTCCTTCAAAATGTGAGGTACCCGGTGTGTAAACATTGCACAAAATGCTCACTGATAATAGAATACATGTTAAGGTTTTTAGAAAGTAATTTATTATTAAACTACATATAGTAAAAGTAATCAGGTGAGAATTATGACCAAAATGCAGAGGGGGATGCTGTTAGCCAATAAAAAAAAAAGGCTGTAGTGCTACATGAGTGACCACACTCACTTGTTTACATGTCAAGGTATACATAGAATAAAAAATCTATTCAAATGCACAATTTATTCCACTGTGACGAATACCATCATAATTACCTACTACCAAACTTAATAGTACTAACAATAGAACGTCCAAGATAAAGTAAAATATTTTGAAAATCTAGTTTAATAACACAGAAACAAAGTCTTAGACGTGTATTTTTCTAGTCATTCATTCATTCATTATTTTCCTTCAGCGTAGTCCCTAATTTATGTTGGTTAAATGGCTTATAAAATTCATGCCAATTTTTATAAATGTTTAACATTGTCATGTGATGCAACAAAGGGTCTTTGCAACTTATTTGAGTCCATGAATATCCTGACTACGTATATTCATTGCTGTGACACGACAAGAGCTGTCTTTTCAACGTTAAAATATGTTTTTGTTCTATCATTTTACAAATGGTTTCTATTTCTGCAAAGTCGCAACTGAACGACAGCATACACTACTATGACAAAGATCAACTGATTATGTGCTTTATTAAGTGTTAAAGACTACTAATGTGAGTTTGAATAACATTTGATGTGACATTTATTGCCATACACAATGTGGCAGCAGACTGTTTATCTCAGATCTTAAAAAATATCAAGCAAGCATATAGTTTAAAAATTAACATTAGAACTATGACTATGCAAACCAACAATTATCAGTCACTCAGTGTGTACTTTTATTAATTTTAAAAAGATTTTAAGAGTTTGTACTTAGATATTGCTTGGTAGTTTTAGCAAGTTTGACATGCTGTCCCTGGAGAGAACCTTGAGCTCGGAGATAACTGAGCCTGAGGCTCCCACCTGGTCGAAAAGCATGTAACTGGGTACGAGATCAGATAGTACTTGAGAGCTCCCCCTATTAAACGGAGGAAAGGGGGGAGATGGGGTGGGTAGCGGTATTCTTCGGAAAACAAAGATAAGGGAATAATTCTAGACAGGCTATTTAAAGTAAGTTTGGATTTATCGGACTGGCATACTAATGATAACAGATGAGTGACCAGCCATGATCAATCATATAACATGCTCCTCTCACATTAGTTCACTAAATAGGAATTAATTTGAATGAGAGTGCAGTACAGAATTCTGTGCATCTAAATGGTGATGGTATTTAAATGTTTCTGTCATGTCAATTCTGGTGCGTACAGCCAAGTTGCTTGTCACTGGAATTTTTTCATGTCACTTATGTATGGAGGCATTATTATTATTTTTTTTTTTTTTGCCATGTTTGCATAGAAGGTGGTTTATTATGTATCATTGCTTGCAAGAAAATTTTGAGGTTTTGGGGGTGGGGGGGATGAGAGATGGGAGTGGAAGGATGTTTATCTGTTTTTTTTTTTTTAAGTAAAGTGTCATGGATTGACCATTACAATATGAAAGAAACACTTAAATATGCAAAATTACCCCCCCCCCCCCCTTTTTTTCAGAGAACATATTTTGCAATCCCAGAATCCCAAATGTAAAGCCACTTCACCAAAATAGCGAACACTCACAGGAAAGTCAACATCCCTTGAGGTGTTTCATGCAACAGGGATAAAGTAAGGCAGCGTATCTGCATATCAAAGTGAGTTTTGCTACTAGTGTTCTTCTCCATATGTGAATAAACACACGTTTGTTCTTTGACACATGATTGTTTTCACTCTTCTTCTCCACAAACCACTAAAGAAAGGAAGGATTGAGTCATGCTGAGGTTGTAAGAGGCATTCTGGGAAGAGACCAAGCTCTGAGCAATTACCACAGGATCGATGGCTGGCCTTGTCTGGCCTTTTGGCAGACTTCAAAACATTGGCCTGTCAAAGGGTGTTTGACTTGCATGATGTTAGAAGTTCATGGACACCACCATAAAGTAAAACGACAACGAGAGACGCTCTGGCTCATGATTCACAATTTTCATCTTTAAGTCTGATATATACTAGGTTTTAGATTTCATAAATGATACTTCTTTAACCTCAGAATGCCTTGACATTTACTGAGCCAAAATTTATTTATTTTTTTTAATTACTGCATTGAATTTTTATGGAAGCTGTTTAATACACTGTGGTAAAAAAAATGTTATTGCAACTTTTTATCTCATAATGATGACTTTGCTTTTTTCACAATCCGGAAGAAGTGACAAACTTAAAATTGTGAGAGCGGTTAAAATTTGGATCAGGTTTTATTGTTCATTTATTGCAATTCGGCATTTTCTTCTCAAAATTCAGAGTAAATGCGAAAAAAACTCAAAATTGCCTCATAAAAAAATTGGATATAAATTTGAGATTCTATTTCTTTCTTCTCAGAAATATGACCTTTACTGTCTCAGGATTCTAATTTAAAATTTTGAATACACAGACAAATTTTAAGATTAATTGAGAAAGGTACACATGTGTGTGTTTATAACTCAAAAGAGCAAGATATAGACTTTATATACGAAATATAAACAAATATGTGAAAATGAATGCTAACATAAATGTTAAGTTGCAATTAGGCAAGGGCTGGTATAAAATTCTTACGGTATGATAACCTTGAATAAAAATATCATGGTTTCAGGATATTGTGATTACCGCCCTAAAATATGATCTTTTTAAATGTCTGGGTAAAAAAAAACCCTAAAACTTCTGTCCCCTTTGAACACAATATATTTTATTTTGAGACATTTTTTTTTTATATTTTGGAACAGTAAACATCTCAGGCTAAATAAATCAAACGAATTATTGATTTCTGTTGTCTTCATTAAATTTAAAATCACAGATTTCATTAACATTTAAAATTGCATCTTCGGAAATCTTTTCTGCTGGAGAAAACAAAAAAGGAACATGGTTATTTCTCTTGATAAAACCGCAATACAAAAAGATAATTAAGAAGTCATTTCTGTCAGCTCCGACCGTCCTGAACCCAGATGGAAAGAGCCATGTTGAGGAATCCATGGTGGTATAGTACTATTATGCCATTGTTATTTGTCAGAGAAGAATTTTTAGAAAAATAGGCCTAGGATCTCACGGGACTCACGGAACAATAGCTTGATTGAATCAACAAATGCACATAAATCTACATGCTGCATCTGCCTTACAAGACACTAAACACACAACATCACTCGAAGGCTCCACTGAAGAGCAACTGAGAGCCACCATCTCCTGCATTATTCATCAGCTCTAATTCCCCTTATTTTTCACCAAATATCTCAAAAAGAAACATTCATACATTCCTGCAAAAAGACTGACACACTTTGACTCTGTCATTTCTACTTGATTTGACTGCACATTTTACACTCGCATTAATAATTTGGAGTACCTCTGTCAGGAAAGGGCAGCGAGTCATTTTTCAAACACATATGAGATATTAGAGATGAAAACACACACAACTAGACTGTCAAACCAAATGGATAAAAGCACTCATGATGACGGAAATACTCCACTTTGGCTGTCAGCTAAACTGTTGTCATTTTCAGGTGAAGAACAATAGCCATTATTTCAAGAGCAAAACTTTGCATATTCCACACATAATTGCCCAATTCAGAATAAAATAAAATAAAAATAAAATTTAATAAAAATTTTATTAAAATTTAAAAATTAAATTAGATTAAATTAAATAATTGTCTGTAAACATCAGCCATATTGGGTTCTATATGTATCTCTAAAACATAAGTGCTCTTGTAATGGATAAGCAGGCCTCCTGTCTGTTGCTTGATGCATTAAAATAGGACGGCAAGCACAGTAATTATACAAAATTTTGTAGACCAGAACATTGTGTGTCCCTCTGATTAGCAAAAGCGATGGAAACATAAAGCAAATGAAGCGAGTATATGTGGACCATCTCGCTTTCTCTAATATACAGTACACCCGTTACACTTGAGAACTGAAGCCTCTTATTAGATTAACAGGCTGGAAACAAAATCACATTTGCTATCTGAATAACAATGTCCTAATTCAAACAGGTCAGACTGCTACATGTTTCCAGTAATAAATCATAATAAAGATATATGAGGAGCAGTAAAGACCTGTTAAAACAAAAGACAATTACTATTCCTTACCATAACAAACAAGACACAGAAAAACAACATTGTCATTTTCAGACAACTTTTTTCCCCAGCTGATTGACAGCCAATCAGAATCTAAGCTTTAAATAACTTGAGCATTAAAGTGGC